GGTTCAGTTCCCGCTAAGGGTGCATACCTTGGCTGCAGTTTGTCCCTGGCCCTGGTTGGGGTTGTGTGGGTGGCAACCAGTTGATGTGTCTCTGTCACATGGATGTTTCTCTCTCTCTCTTTTCTTCCCTCTCTCCCTTCTGCTCTATCTGAAGATAAAATGCAAAAATGTCCTCAGGTGAGGATAAAAAAAACAAAACAAAAAAACCTCAACACCAAAAACACACACACAATCCAATTAGAAAATGGGCAGAGGATCTCAATAGACACTTCTCCAAAGAGGACATAGAGATAGCCAATAGTCATGAAAAGATGCTCAACGTCACTAATCATCAGAGAAATGCAAAGTAAAACCACAATGAAATATCACCTCACACCTATTAGAATAGCTATCATCAATATATCTACAAACAAGTGGTGGTGAGGATGCAGAAAAAGGAACCCTCACACACTGCTGGTGATAATGCATGCAGTTTGATGCAGCCACTGTGAAAGGTAGTATGGCATGATCTCAAAAAATTAAAAATAGAACTGCCTTATGACCCAACAATTCCACTTTTGGGAATATGTCCAAAAAACTCCAAAACACTAATTTGAAAGAATATATGCACCCTTGTGTTCACTGCAGTGTTATTTACTATACCCAAGATTTGGAAGCAGCCCAAGTATCCATCAGTAGGTGAGTGGATGGTACGCCCTGGTCAAGTTTGGCTCAGTGATTAGAGCATCAGCACTCGGACCGAAGGGTCCCAGGTTAGACTCCTAGTCAAGGGCATGTACCTGGATCCCAGGTTGGATCCCCAGCTCAGGTTGGGGTTGTGTGAGAGGCAACCAATCTGTGTGTCTCTCTCACACTGATGCTCTGACTTATTTCACCTCTCATATTTTATTTTATTTTTTTAATTTTTTAAAATTGATTTGAGAGGAAGAGGAAGGGAGAAGAGAAAAAAAACACCAATGAGAGAGTACATCAATCGGCCACCTCCTTGCACGTCCCACACTGGGGATTTGGCCCACAACCTGGGCATGTGGCCCTCCTAACCGAGAATCAAACCAGAGACCTCCTGGTGCAACCACTGAGCCATACCAGCCGTGCTCATATTTTAAATAAGTGTCATTCTCAGCCCTGGCTGGTTTGGTTCAGCCGGTTTGCTCAGTGGTTAGAGCACCAGTCTGCAGACCAATGAGTTGCGGGTTCGATTCTGGCCATGGGCATGTACCTCGATTTCAGTTTGTCCCCGGCCCTGGTCAGGGTCGTGTGGGAGGCAACCTGTTGACGTGTCCTTCTCACGTCGATGTCTGTCTGTCTCTCTCTCTCCCTCACACTTTATCTGAAGATAAACAGAAAAATATCCCCTGGTGAGGATTAAATAAGTGTCATTCTCAGAGTCTATTTAGTGCCACATTTTTTCACATTTTGTGCCTTTTGTTGGTGATTTTGCAGCACTGTTAAGTGTTCATAAGTGCAAGAAAAGTTTTGATGTATAAGATACATGTTAGATAAGCTTTGTTAAAGCATGAGTTACAGTGCCACATGAGTTCAATGTTAATGAATCAAGAATATATATTAGTCCTGGCCAATTTGGCTCAGTAGTGAGAGCATCAGCTCTTGGACCAAAGGGTCACAGGTTTGATTCCCAGTCAAGGGCAGTGAGTGACCTGAGTTACAGGTTCAATCCCCATCCCTGGTCGGGGTTGTGTGGGAGGCAACCAATCCATGTGTCTCTCTCATACTGATGTTTCTCTGTCTCCTTCCCTTATACTCTAAAAACAAACAAACAAAAATCAATGGAAAAATATCCTTGGGTGAGAATTAACAACAACAACAAAAGAATATATATTCAAGATTTATAATTATCCTGCAAATAAATATAGAGATGTCAGTAGTATATTAAAATTAATTATGTTTTATTTTATGGTTCTATTATTAAAAATGTCACTCCATTGTTAAAAACAGTGCCAAACAACCCTGGCCAGTTTGGCTCAGGGGTTAGAGCGTCAGCCTGCAGTCCAGAGAGACCCGGGTTCGGTTTCCACTAAGGGCGCGTACCTCAGGTGCAGTTTGTCCCCGGCCTTGGTTGGTCGTGCAGGTGGCAGCCACTTGATATGTCCCTTTCACGTCGATATTTCTCTCTCTCTCTCTCTCCCTCCCACTGTATCCGAACAAATAATGGAAAAATGTCCTCGGGTGAGGATTACAAACAAAAACAAAACAAAACAAAACAAAAGTGCCAAACAAACAAACAAAACCCAAAAGTCATGTTTATTTCCAGTAAAGGTTAAAAAAAAAAAAAAAGCAATGATATATATATGTAAACAGAAACACATAAAACAAAGTTATGTATTCATCAGTTGCTGAAAATGTTGTGACCAGAGGTTCATAGGAACCTAACCTTGTATTTGAGTTATCTAGGGGCATTAACTCAGTATTTGTTAATATGGTGTTCTCAGTAACTTTACAGAATATAACTACTACAACTGTTGTTACATGTACCAACTCAACATGTAGCAACAGGAAAGCCACCAAATTATAGACCATTTTCTGGAACAACAGATCATTTACCCCAACTCAAACAGTAGTTAAAGGTTCCTGACAGGATAACCACAGGGACTGATGGTGTTATTTCATAGCATACAGACTAAAAATATTAGAATAATGCAACGAACTAAGTCAGAAAGTAAACATTACATCACCACATTCAAAGATCAAGAGGTAGCTGGTGAGGTACATATACCCCAGGGGCATGCAAATGAATCAATGGGGTAAGGGAAGAGAACCGAACACTTATCTATACTTATTAATCTCATCTTTAAATTCCAATTTATTTTATAACTTAGTAATAGTACAGTATGTATACACAATTTATTAATTCTACTGGTAGTGTCTGCTTCAATTCTGATAATAGTGTACAAAACTAAAAAAAAGTTGGGACATCACCACGGTAGAGGATCTGAGTCAGTATCTGAAAACAAACTTCAGGGGCATGTGTCCTGTAGTAAGGGACAGGACTGGTGGCTTTGAGGACTCAGATGCACTGGGAACAGCTATGGAAATCTGGGTTCTACTGCTGCTTTGTCCCCAAGTTGTGATGATCTTCACAAAATTGTGATGATCCTAAGGCATCAAGTGACTCGCGGAAGAAATTGATTAGATGGTTGCAACACTCAGCAAACAATCTGAGCTAAGAGCCCTTCCTACTCTAGAAATCTGACAATCTATCTATGATCCAGAGAAAAAAATCATAAAAGCTGGTAAGTAAAACTACTGTGTGCTGTTGCCTAAAATCTAAGGGCTGAGGCATGCCCTGAAAAAGCAGTAGTAGGCTGGCCACAAAACACCGCTTCCCAGACTATGGAATCCTTTAAGAGATCCTAAGACTATCAGTATTATCTTACATAGTTAAGCTAATCAGACGGACAGACAGACAGAGATAGAAAGAAACATTATCATAACCAGTGCTGGCAATCTGTCTGCCATTCCACTAAATGAGGGTGTTCGGATCCCTGGGACAGTTTGATTCCCCCAGTCTCTCTTACATTGTGAGGCTAATATTTGACACAACATTTTTTTTTTTTTTTCATTTACATTACCTAATCATAAACCAACTGTCCTGGTGCTCAAGGGAAGAAGCACAGATTATTTCAATCCTAAAGGAAAAGTGGCTGCCTATGACTTACTGAGAGATGGAAACCAGCCTCCAAAGAGGACTGACTTCCTAAGGGTATTTCAAGGACATTTTTGACAATACTCAATTTTCACAATATACACTGATTGTAAAACCAAACCCTCAAATAAAGACTTATTATAGTAAATCAAAATTTGTCAGAATATGCGCTTATGGTATTTCATATTGTCTAAAGTGCTCTCATATCAACAGTGTCATTTAACACAGCAGCCAAGCAAAGACAGAACAAGAACTGCAGTTCCCATTTCAGAAATCAAGTGCAGTAATACAAAAAGAGTTTCTGAGCCAGACAATTCGGGTTCAAATCCTGGGCATATTGTTCAATTTTTCAGAGGCTTAGTTTCTTGTCAGTAAAATGCATATGGTTGCACACACCTCAGTTTTGAGGATGAGTCAGGTATACAAGTTGCATGTATACAGCACTGTGTGTCCTTGCATCATTTCACAGGAAATAGTACTTGAAGTTCACACACCTAATATGACTAATCTTCAATTCCCAGCTCCATGCTCAGAGGTTCAAGAAGAATGTAAAAGGTGTTCAAAAGACAGAACTACTCTGTTAGTTTTGGTCCAAGTAAATTTACTCTCTTGAAGACTCACAAAACATATGCGTGTGTGCAGGTGTGTATGATATAAAGGCTCTATAATTGTTTTTAAATTAAGCTGGTTCAACATGTACAGAACATTTCCCAAAAGCGCATTTAATAATGTAATCCATTTTTTGTATAATTACAATAAACATCCGCACAGACCTAATGTTCTTCTGAACATACTTTTAGAAGAACATACTTTTCTAGAAACACTGTTTTTTGACAAATACTATTGTATTAATATTAATAGAAATAATTAATGGGTTATAGGACAAGGCACAAGAAACCAGGAATACCTGGAAAAGTTATCCCAACACTTAGCCTTTCCATTTTGCGGGACTAAAAGCCTTAAAGGACCACTAGGTCGCAGCTGCCGCCTCACCAGGTGGAACCAAGCAAAAAGCCGGCGCACACTTCGCCTCACCCCGCAGTGGAGGACCATTCTCTTCTCTGCCCTTTTTCACCACCACCACCACCACCACCACCACCTTAATCCCTTCCCACACATCCGCATCTAACCAAGGTCAGGGACAGGAGTGAGATGGTGCCGTGAGAAAAAGCAACCCCGCAACCCGCCGCAACCTTTCTACTTCATCCCGCAGCGGGTGCAAAGCCACACCGCCTCTCCTACCTCTCGTGTCTCTACTGCAAGGTCTGCAATATTTCTAAATGTTATGAATTGTTTTTAAGCGCAAATAACTTCCCCGCTCCCTTCCGCCGCTCACCTTCACGAAAGCTGTCGGGGTTGTGGTACCTTCGATATCTAACAGGATAACAGTGACTTCGGCGGGTACCGAAAGCACGACCATTTCCCTACCGGATGCTACCACGGGAATCGGCCTACTGGTAGGGAGGGCGGCGCCGACTGCACCCCCAGCACCGTCCTGGGCTTCTGAGAGCTCCGTAAGAATCTCGGAGCGGTCAACCGAAGGGAAGCAGCACGAGGGGAAGAGGCCACCTCCACGCCACTGAAGTGGAAAATGCAGCCTGCCGCGCAAGGCACCTGAACTCCGAACTGCCCAGGGCCGGAGGCCGAGACCACGTGGTCGGGGAAAGAGGCTGGCCTGGCGGAGCTCCGAGGGGGCGGGAATAAGTAAAGGCGTCGACGCCGATTGGCCGCCAGAGAGCCTGGAACCGATCGATCAAATTGGGCCTCGCGTGGGCGGGAACAAAGCGAACGCGGGAGTCCAGTGCGCGGGCGCGCGCTCTCCGCAGACTGGTTAAGCGAGCGTGAGAGGCCCGGGGCACGTGCAGACGGGAGCCCCGCGAGAGGCGCGCCGGGGATGTGAGTGCCCCCTGCCCTCTAAGGCACCTAGCCCCCACCCCGCCCACTGCGTCCGCTTTTGCATATTTACAGTAATCTGACCGGGCCTGCGCCCTTCCTCCCGTCCTCAGCCAGCGAGAGGCCGGGAGGCGTCCTGGTTGGCCTGACTGCGGTGGCCCAGGTTCCGGCGGATCGGCTACGGAGGCCCGCCGCCCACTCTCGGCTCGCGCGCCTGTAGCAGTAGCGGAAGAGGCGCCGGCGCCGCGCCACTGCCCGTAGGGGCCGCCGCGCGCCCGCTTCCTGTTCGGCTGGTTCCAGCCAGCTCCAGGACAAAACACGCTTGCGCGTGGCGGACGGGCAGGCGCGCTCGCCGCCTCATCCGTCGGTGCCGAGCGCAGTCCGCCTTTTTCTGGAGCAGGCCGGCCACGCTGCTAATCGATAGCAGCCGCCGCAGCAGTTCCGCACTGGGGGACCGAGGGCGGAGGAAGGCAGGGTTGACGGCTGTTGCTAGGAGTGGGCTGGATCGGACGCCAGAGACAAAGGCTCTCAAGGCAAGAGGGACTTGGCCCTGCGACGGCGCTGCTCGGGATTTTTGAACCCAGGACTTTTCGCCCCTTCGTGTTTCTCTTCTGACGCTCCTCTCATCCTAAGCCCGCGTTCCCTCACCCGCCACCTCGCTCCTCATCGGAGGGCCGCGATGGAGGTCCCGCCCCGGCTCTCCCATGTGCCGCCGCCATTGTTCCCCTCCGCTCCCGCTACTTTAGCCTCCCGCAGCCTTTCCCATTGGCGGCCACGGGCGCCGAGGCAGCTCGCCCCACTCCTCCCTTCGCTCGCTCCCAGCTCTGCCCGACAGGGGGCGCGCCGGGCCCAGCGCCACGTCACCGCCCAGCAGCCCTCCCGATTGGCGGGCGGGGCGGCTATAAAGGGAGGGCGCAGGCGGCGCCCGGATCTCTTCCGCCGCCATTTTAAATCTAGCTCCATACAACGCTCCGCCGCCACTGCTGCCGCGACTCGAACTGCGCGCCAGCACCCCACGGCAGACAGCTCCGCCACCATGGAGGACGTGAACGAGTACAGCAACACAGAGGAATTCGCAGAGGGATCCAAGATCAACGCGAGCAAGAATCAGCAGGATGACGGGTACCACACGCTGTTCCCCTATCCCCCAGCGCGCCGCACGCGCCCTTCGTCCCTCGAGAGCCCTGCGCTGTCCACATTCTTGCCCGGAGTCGATTTCCCGCGTGCCCGCTGGGCCCCACTAGCTTGGAGGGAAGAGGAAAGTAGGAGACGGAGGAGCTGACTCGAGAGGCCCGGGGAAGGTGGGGGAAGGGCGGAGAGGTTGGAGGCGGAGGGCGGCGGCGGCGTCTGTGTCCCGAGTGCGCAGGCGCCGCATGGGGCCCATGGGGGAGGGGCCCGCCGCGCCACATGCTGCAGCTGCCGCCGCCTCTTCATTGTGTCTGTTAGGGCTCCGCGCGGTTTTCCTGGGAAGAGTTTAGAGAACTCTTGATTTGGGAGCCAGTGTACCAAGGTACGCAGATCCCCAGGAACGCATTATGATGAGTTCTTTAGGTGGAATATTGGCTTGACAGCTGAGGAAGAAGGTGGGCCAAAATTGTGAGGGATGAGTTTAGGAAGTTGGATTTTCTAAAGTAGAACAAACAATGTTCAACATTTTGTTGGCCTTGGCCTCGTTTGACCTTTGCATTATGCAGTGTGGAGAACAAGCTGTAAGATGTTTTGAATGAGTGATCTCGATGGGATTTTGGAATTTTTGTGGTCTATTGATAACGTGTATCTGAAAACGTGGATTAAACTACTCGAGCATGTTGGTTAAACTTCCCCTACTTATTTCATAGTTAAACGTAATCTCAGAATTGAAGTAATCGTTTGAGCTGCTGTTAACCTTAAAAATAACTTTATTTCTAGTAAAATGTTTATTGGAGGATTGAGCTGGGATACAAGCAAGAAAGATCTGACTGAATATTTGTCTCGATTTGGGGAAGTTGTAGACTGCACAATTAAAACAGATCCAGTCACCGGAAGATCAAGAGGATTTGGATTTGTGCTTTTCAAAGATGCTGCTAGTGTTGATAAGGTAGGAATGTGTTTTGCACGGTGGTGGTTTTTGCGTGCGTTTTGCAAATTGTTTGGAGGGTTGGTTGTATATTGCTGTCAGATTAAATAAAATGTCTTCTAGGTTTTGGAACTGAAGGAGCACAAACTGGATGGCAAATTGATAGACCCCAAAAGGGCCAAAGCTTTAAAAGGGAAGGAACCTCCAAAAAAGGTTTTTGTGGGTGGATTGAGCCCAGATACTTCTGAAGAACAAATAAAAGAATATTTCGGAGCCTTTGGAGAGGTGCGCTGTGTGGTTGTTTGTGTGTGTTTTATATTTGATGTGTATATAATATTCATCCTGGGCCCACTTCTTATAGAACAAATTCATATGTCAGGTGAGGATGGACTTAGATTAGTGCTTGGGTTCCTTCCAGTCACCATACTTTAATCACTGCTTTCTGTGCTGTAATGAAAACCAATTTTTAATTTATTTTGGTGAAAACATGGATGCTTTGGTGTGGTCAGTGTTTGGACTTGTTAATTAGTGGCACCTGTAGGGTATGAAATGATATTAAATGAAGTTTTCCTCTCCCATCTAAATAATTAATAGATAAAATAAGTCACATAGTTTGGTGTTGGTATTAAGTATTAGTAGCCTGTACAGAAGTCATCTGATTAGAATAACATGCTATATTGAAGATTATGATGGATCCTGTGGTATTCTAAGACTTTTTGGTAGCTTTTTACCATTACTGGATGATCTTGAATGTGCATCTTGATTTCAGATTGAAAATATTGAACTTCCCATGGATACAAAAACAAATGAAAGAAGAGGTTTTTGTTTTATCACATATACAGATGAGGAGCCAGTAAAGAAGTTGTTAGAAAGCAGATATCACCAAATTGGTTCTGGGAAGGTAAAGCCATTTTAACTATTTCATTAAGTGGGAATTTTGAGTTTCATTTTATTAGTGAAATAGTTTCTCAATCTTGTTTGCTTTTTTAAATTGGCCTATAGTGTGAAATCAAAGTTGCCCAACCCAAAGAGGTATATAGGCAGCAACAGCAACAACAAAAAGGAGGAAGAGGTGCTGCAGCTGGTGGACGAGGTGGTACTAGGGGTCGTGGCCGAGGTGAGACTTAATTCTTGGGAAATGACTTGATAGTTTAAGCTGTAAATTGGTAAATGTGAGTAAGTCCGTAAGAAAGTAAAGCTATAAATTGTTTCTCAACATAGAAAATGCTCAGTTGAGTGGGTGGATTTTTGGTTTTAATGAATTGGTTGGTTTCACCTTTTCAAAAAATGGCCACTGTGAGTGTCATCATTGATGGGAAAATGATACTATTAAATGCAGTAACAATTATATGATACACTATAGTGATAGGTTTTCTTGGGTAGGAGTTCTTTTAATTTTTTTGGTATGTGCCCCTAGCAGGATCCGAACTCAGGACTCTGCTCTGCAGGCCAAGGCTTCAACTGCTGAGCCAATACCGCCCAGGGCTGGGCAGGAGTTCTTGCTTTGAATTTTTTTTCAATTGATTTTTAATTATGTTCTTCTTGTTATTAATCCTCACCAGATATTTTTTCCGTTTATTTCTAGGTAGAGTGGGGGGTGGGGAGAAACATCAATGTGAGAGAGATCCATTGATTGGTTGCCTTCCACACGTGCCCTTGACTGGAATCAAACCCAAGACTCTTAGGTCCTTGGGCCCAAGTTCTAACTGCTGGGCCAAACCAACCAGGGCTCCAGTTGACTTTTTTTAGAGAGAAAAACATTGACTTCTTTGATGTTCCTTCTACTCTTTTAGGCATTCATTCATTGGTTGGTTCTTTTTTTTTAATCCTCACCCGAGGGCATCTTTCCATTTTTTTTTTTGTTTGGATTGGGTGGGGGGGGGGGGCACATCGAGTGGTTGCTACTCGCAGGACCCAACCAGGGCCAGGGACAAACTGCAACAGAGGTACATGCCCTTAGCAGGAACCAAACCCAGGTCTCTGGACCGGAGGCCGACACTCTAACCGCTGAGCCAAACCGGCCAGGGCTCATTGGTTGATTCTTGTATGTGCCCTGACTGGGAATTAAACCTGCAACTTTGGCATATTGAGATAATGCTCTAACCAACTGAGCTACCCAGACATGGCCTATGAGTTCTTTAAAGTTAGACAGTCAGTCTGTCTTCACCTTTGTACTGATTTTCCATTAAATTTAGGAAGCCTAATACTGGCACAATTGGACTTTCTGCCCGTTTTGTGTGTGCGTATGACACATCATTTTATGTTAGGATTGTGGAGTCAAGAATTGTTTCCTGACTATATTGTGCATTGTTTCAGGTCAGGGTCAAAACTGGAACCAAGGATTTAATAACTATTATGATCAAGGATATGGAAATTACAATAGTGCCTATGGTGGTGATCAAAACTATAGTGGCTATGGCGGCTATGATTATACTGGGTATAACTATGGGAACTATGGATATGGACAGGGATATGCAGACTACAGTGGTAAGAATATTTAACTTAATTTTATAACCAGTGGTATTTGGTGTTAAATTACAATTGCATTCTAAAATTGTTTGGGTTTTCCATTTATTAAAGTTACAGAAATTATGGTTATAAATGTTCGAGAATATGTGATTAATTTATAATGGCTGTTAAAATCTGAGTATTTTCATATTTGGCATGCAGTTTTATATGTTTAATAATTTTCAAGTGTATTTATA